ATATTCATATATGTCACTTCTTTCTGTATTTGCAGGAAAATAGCCTTGATCACAATAATCTTAAGGTTCAGTTAACTTTGAAGTCTACTGAATTCTTATTTGTATTATCTTGTCAAATTTGTATATGTATAAGTTATATGATCTTGCCTTGTTGGTTATAAACTGTGATGTAATAGAGAAAACAAAGTTTATTTTTTAAACCTTTGATAAAAAATGAATGAGAATCAAATCTCAGTTTTAAAATATCATCCAACTTTTCTTAAAATGCAGACCGGTGTTATGTTTCGTCAGCTTTGAAAAGTGATCAGACAAAACTAAGAAGATAGCTTTGTCACTCACTGTACATACACCAAAATTTTGCATTGTTCTTTGTCATAATTTCACAAATTTTAGATGAAAGTCTTTTTTCCAGCCTATATTGGTGTACCTCAGTAATTGTATTGTAATGGTGAAGGAGGTAATGTTAAATCATTGTATTGTAATGGTGAAGGAGGTAATGTTAAATCTTTCTTATGTACTCTCATTATTTTATCTATGAAGTCTTATGTACTCATGTCATCATCATCAAATTAATGTACTGTACTGTACATAATAGGTTTAAACATCTCATAGGAGAAACTGAAATCTGTTCTCTAATACTTATGGGATGAGAATAATGTGGAGTTTAGAATGGTTGAATAAAATACAAGATTACTCATAGTTGCATATTGAAAAATAGTTTGATAAATACAATTATTCAATACAAGGCACATTTAACTTCACTGGAATAGTCTTACAGCACAAGCAATTTCACCTTAAATAGTTGGAACACTAATGACAGACAATACACAAAGAAATCCTACAATAACAAATACCAATAATATATATGAGTGCTGAGTGTTATAGTAACATTGTGAATAAATATCTTTTAATATTCAAATAAACATTGAATGAAAGCTACACCATGCCTTTTAACATTTCACCAACCCAAAAATATTTTTTTTTTATACAAACTAACTGATGACATAAAAGTAGGTCAAGTTTCATGCAAATATAATTCAAAAATTTTCACATATCAAAATATTTATCAGTTACAGGATGGTGAATGTGTCTGAAATATTTATACAGAAAACTGGCCTAAATTCTGTCAGACAAGCTAATACTGTAATTCAGTTTCAAGAATATATCATTATTATGAAGTGGAACTATATTTGACCTTAAAAACAGTCTGACATCCATGACATCAATACAGTGCATGTAATTAATTTTATCTTTTCTCGCATTGCTACACCCGAACTTCAATTTACTGCACGTGTCTGAAATTGTATCGCAAAATTACTGTACGTACTTCATTTTGCATTGTCCAAAACACTTATAAATGCAAGAAAGATTTCATAATGTTTGACATTTTGTATTGCCTTTACTTAATTTTCTACAGTCAGACATTCTATCGTATCTGCCCCTGTATTTTCTTAAAGAAAAACTTATTACAATGCAGTACTGTATTTTTTATTTCAAATACCCCTGTCCAGACAAAAAATTATATATATATATATATATATATATATATATATATATATATATATATATATATATATATATATATATATATATATATATATATATACAGTATATATATATATATATATATATATATATATATATATATATATATATATATATATATATACAGTATATATATACCAGCCAATAATAGCATAGCATGCATGTGGCAACTGTAACAGCATGTAATAGCCAGCCAGCCTTAGCCTTATGTATGTATGTAGCAACCTTATGCAGCCAGCAGCAGCCAGCCTTAGCCTTATATGTATGTATGTATGCCTTGCTATATATATATACAGTATGCTCTTATGCTGCTGTATATGCTGCTGCCATATATAACATATGCCATGCAGTGCTCCTTGCCATGCAGCCTTATGCTGCTTATGTAACATATATATAACAACAACACTTTCCTTAACATACTGCTGCCTTTCTTTCTCTTTCCTTACTTGATATATATATATATATATATATATATATACTTAACATATATATACTATATATATATATATATATATATATATATATATATACAGTATATATATATATATATATATATATATATATATATATATATATATATATATACAGGTATATATATATATATGTATATGCTTTATATATATATACACAGTATATATATATATATATATATATATATATATATATACACAGTATACTCTATATATATATATACTTATATATATATATATATATATATATACTCATATATATATATATATACAGTATATATATATATATATATATATATATATACAGTATATATATATATATATATATATATATATATATATATATATATATATATATATATATATATATATATATATATATATATATATATCAGACTGCAGTAAGATGATCATCTTACAGGAAAGAGAGATAAATAATATATGGTTATATACTATGTGATATCAAAATGGTTATTATAAAAAACTTATGAAATCCATTAACACAAGTCATAAGCAAGGAAGACTTGGAAATGTAAAATGGTAGCTGCTAAATCACTGTTGTATTATCAACTACTAGTTAACAAAGAATCCAAACACTTCAACGACTTTTGGACATAGAGAGTAATAACACTTTATAAAGACATTGAGGTTCAGTAGAAACATTCCACTTACCAATATGTACAATCAGAAAGCAAACATACACTAAGAAAAACTTTTCATCCATATCCGTTGCACCATTTTCCACGCCACAAGGTAGTAGTTTTCATAATGCTTTGCACACATACTCGTCCATACACAAGATATCCCCACAGCACTTATGACGCATTTAATTCAATTAATATCATTAATTTTCTTTCATGTACAGTTGGGTCTCACATTACTCGGTTAATGTAACCCGAAGGGTACCGCGGAAAGTGAGGAACGCGTAAAGTGAACAACATAACATATGGGATTAATTGAAATGGAGTCCAGGCCGATCCCCAAACTCCACTTTTTGACGACACACAACTATGTTGTAGTAAAAATATTATCTTAACTTTATGATGGCATGCACACACAATTAATAATTAAGAGAAATATCAATAATATTAGGTTTTTTTAACACTTACATTAGTAGAAAAGATGGCTGGGTACACGGGGATGGGCGGTTGGTTCCGAGGCAGAGGGCAGATTATTGGCCCTCACCTGTATCACTTGTATCAATTGTATCACTATCCACCACAGAGGCTTGCAGGGCCTCTTTGTCAAACCCCCCAAAGTTCATATAAGTCGTCCATATCCTCACTATAATTATCACTATCACTGACTTGGGCCGGCTGTAGTGGGTGGCGGGTGAAGAAATGGTAATGTTTTGATGACTGGGCGACCTTGTGCGCACCATTTTCGCGCCTCTTACACAACATGGCAGATGGCGGGAGGTTTGGATCCAAAAATGGCGCAGCTTGCCAGCCGCTCTCCGCGCAATGGGGTTCACGACCGCGGAATGTGAGCATGTTAGGTTCCGGCAGGGCACCGCGTTAACGGTGAACCGCGGAATGCGGGACCGCGTAATGTGAGGGTTGACTGTATACTGTACCTCCTAAGCAGCTGAGCTTTCATAAACTTAGCGGCCTACACGGTCAATAGTATTGCGCAAAAATCCATATGTCCATTATAATTGATCATTTAGGGTAAATATTGAATAATAACGCAATAAGCTGTATTGAAGGAATTCATATCGGTTTGATTTTTATTATGCAATACTTAATTTGAAGGTAATAACCGTATCTTCTCAACTGTAACATGAGTACAGTATACGTGTAAAACCAGTTTCCTTTACATATCAATGCATTATTTGTGTAAATCACCATCATAAATAAGAATGTTTCAAACTTGTATGTCATTTTCTTACCTATATACAGGGGATCCTCATTATATGTGGTTAATAGGGTCCAAAAAAACCCACTGATAATGAAACCACTTATAAAGGGGAATTAATTCCCATAAGAATTAATAGGAATAGGGTCTAATTGGGACCATCACATTGTAAGTGACACTTAGAATTTAATTTGGTATCTTTTAAAAGTAACATACAGTATACTGTATACCTTAGAAACATTTGATTACACATTAATTTATGAAATTATTTAACTTTACAACTTATTAAAGGTACTCAAGTTGTTTGGGGTTGGTGTGTAGATGCGGCATAAGCTACCTAACCAAGCACTCACACACTCATTTCAGTGAAATTGCTCAAAGTGGTTCATTGAGAGACACCACTTTTCTTATGACATGTAACTTTTAATTTCACATCCATCCCAAAGATACTATGCTTCCTTTTAGCCACTGCACCACCTCGCTTTGGCTTGTAATGGATGGTTACAAAAATAGTCCACCAATGTCACCAAAGACACAACCAAGATGATAATTATAGTTCTTGGAGCACTTCGAAATAATGCCTGTGGACACAGGCAACTGTTACTGAGCATGCATAGTGTGGGTGAAAAGGATGACCTTTAAGAGAATGGGAGGCGAGCGGGAATTTCAATCGCTAAAACATTTGTGCTCCCAAAGATTGATGGATTTCACCCTTAGAATCCTCGTAATTGCGAGGACTTTTCACGTGGGTGTCCACAATTATTTGACAACTTAAGTGCGAAACCACTTATAACGAGGACCCCTATATTTCCTGTAAGGCAATATACAGGGTATAATAGCTTCATATGTCTCCATAATGGTACAGCTAATTGCCTGAGGAGATATTGCACTAAATTTAAGATCTTCAAATCTGTTGCTGGTGGCCAAGCAGTGCAATGTTACCGGTAACCACTCACTTGCTGTGATACACTCTCGCATAAGTGTTCTTTTATAAATCATGGGGTTACCTTCTCTAGTAATCCATCAAATGCTGCACCATCCATGTCCAAGAAATTTCTGTAATCATTTGACTCACTGACTTATATCCTTCAAAAAATTTTCATGGCTATATTAACATCTTTTCATGTACCATTGTTTCATCCACCAATGCATTTTCGTTTTTTTTTCTGAACACAAAAAGATAATTGTATTGACAATGGCTGTACATACCTGCCATACCTGTATCTACCATTTTGCCTCTATGATTATGGGTGTCAGACAGATTTTTGTGCAATAATATTGAGCCATGTTGGGGGTGTGCAATGCATATAACTCCCACTCACTTTCGTCGTGTAAAGGGATCAAGTCTACTTAACAGAGGGCAGCTGACTTTAACATCACTGGCCAGATTTTTCTTAACATGAATCACACATGAATAAATATCACCATTTTATAGACAAAAAAAAAAAAAAAAAACAACAGTACAGGCTGGACCCCGCTAATCCGGGACCTGATAGTCCGGCAGCTTCGATGGTTCGGGAAGGTGTCATAGTTCACTTCTAGTGGCTGTTGCCACTATTTTCCCTTTAAATACTTATAATTTACCCCCTAAATATGCCTTCTAAGAGACCAGCAAGCAGTGGAAATGGTTGTAATGTGGCATTAACTATTTTAGAATAGGTGCCTATACTGAAGAAATTAAACAGTAATAGTACATTTTATGCATTATTTTGCCTTTTTTAACCTCGGTTTCGAGGATTCAGAATTTTCACTAATCCGGAACCGGTGAGATCCCAAGCTTCCCGGATTAACGAGATCCAACCTGTACCGGGTACTTTTGGTTACAGTATTTAGTTTTTGTGATTGTGACAACTGCTTTTGCTCTATTTTTGTGACAGTGAAGTGAGCACTGTAACTTGGAAAATGACTAGCAGGTGTGTTGCTGAGACTCTTCCTTCTTTGAGGTCAGGCCAAAGCCTACACCTTGTCCCCAAGTAAAAGACCCTCCTAGGACTCTGACTCCCACTCTCTCCAAACTCCCCAGAAGCTGTGGGAGTCAGAATGACATCTCCACTAAACATTCAAGATCCCCTTAACCTCAAAGGGAACATGTGATGACAACCAGGCTAAATTTTTAATGATGTAGCGAGTGTTGTTTAATTGTCTTAGTCATTTTATTAGCGTAGGAATTTTTTTCAGTGATAAATATGGGTGTTGAACTGGCTGGGAACGTATCCCACTGAATCAGATTAATGATAATTAAATTCAAGGATAAATGATAATTCAATTTGTGATGAGTTTTTCAGGAACGTAACCCCATCATAAATCGGGGGATACCTTTACGAACACTGTACTGTGTATACTGCATATAGATTTTGGAATATTTTGTTTTCACTGGATTTAATTTTTGATGAGGCTTACTCTAAAGAAGAAATGCTAAACTTATTCATTTAACATTTTATTCTCTCCAGTGACATCAAATCAAACTCTGGGATACTATACACAGCATTTCCAGTGGAAGTACCTTAAGTGCCTTGCCACTACTTCACATAGCAATCCTGTGAGCCATGATAACTGAAACACTACATGTATTATATTGTTAACTTAGTTAACCACTCTTAAATACAGTACGGTACTTAAGGTTGGTAATAATAAATAATAATAGCTGGTCTTTTGTTTCTAAAAAGTGCCATTCTTCTAAAAATTCACTAGTGCCCAAAAACTACTACTGTACTACAATAAAAGATCACAAAACGTGACAGTTCAACTTCTATCATTCATATACAGATAATTTGTAACACTTCTTAAGCCCTGTAATTCTCCAACACCATATATCCTGATCAGGATTATAAGCTCTCTCTCTCAAAAAGAAAGGTCTTAAATTGTTTCATAAAGGCCTCCACAGAAGTCAGCTGCTTCTTGGATGCAGGCAACTGATTGGGCAGCAAAAGAACATTCACATACTGCTCAAAGCTCCTCGAGGTACAAAAGAACATCAATACTATGCAAAATCATTTCAAAATGTTTAGTCAGTGGAATTAGTAGGTTGGCCAAACATTAGTGTCTTCAAAGTCATTAGACAGACTTTTTGAACTATCCTAGCTTTACTTGGAAACCAATGTAATTCTATCACGAATGGGGAGGCGGTAGCCCTTGGTGGGAAAGCAAAAATATGCTTGGTAACCCTGTTGAACACTGCTTGAACTTTCTTCAGTAGATAATTAGGTAGGCAGACCCATAGTTACAATTGTCAACCGGAGACAAAATAGTGAATATAATAGTGTCAAAAGATACTGTATTTCGAAAAACTGTTTTAACAGCATATAGATTTTGAATATGAAAGTTGCAACTCTTCAATGATTGAATTTATGTGCTCTAAAAATTCAGTTATGAGTCAAAGTACACTCCAAGATTACAAACAGAATCAATAGAACTTATTTGTACTTCGACAAAGTATAAAAGAGCCAAAATCATCTGTGCTGTCTCCCTTCTTATTTCCTTGGATGACGATAATCTCAGTTTTACCATCATTCAGAAGTTTTCTCCTAGCCATCCAAATCTTGTATCAGACATCAAGGATTTCAGTATCTCCTCAATTTTCTCGACATTTTTTTATTTTCACGTAAAGCTGTGTGTCTATAAACTGAACAGGTCTGATGTGGAAAGCACTGATATACCTATGGCAGCACTTTACCATCTTCTGATACTGTGGAAAAAAAAAGAATATTTTTGTTTGAAAATCAAACCTTGGAAAAAAAATTTCCGTAGCAACTTTGGATTTTAATAAACCGGATCTTTGTAAATTGGGAACTACCACTTTATGCTGTATTATGAAATCTTCACCATACTCCTTGGAGAATTACACACCATTACAGTACATGTATGAGCATCCTGCACTAACACTCATCTCTGTCTTCCTAACTCAAGCACACTATTATTCACACACACTCACAGGCCACCTTATCTTTCTATACTGTATACACACACACGTTCACACTCGTTTTCTCTCTTTCATGAAATTTCTCACTTTGTCTCTCTACATCACCTTTTCATTCCCAAACCTAAAGTGGGATAAGTCTATTCTTATGAATTTACATTTATCACATGAGAAATTACATTATAAACACTTACAAAGTTAGAATATTAATGTCCTTCAACAAGGGCAGATCCAGGAATATCAAAATGGGGGGGTCCAAGAAGTTATGGGGGAGGTAACATGGCGAGCTCTGCGAGCCCACTCAGTCGAGTTTTTTGTGTGTGTGTGTGTGTGTGTGTGTGTGTGTGGGGGGGGGTGTATGCCCCCCCTCCCCAAAGATTTTTTTTTTTAAATCCAACTAGTATCATGGGCAATTTGAAGCCATGTGCATTTGATATTAGGAGATATTCTGAAGTCAATACTAATTACTTTTTGCTATACAAAAACATCTAAGCACAATACTGCATTATAGAAAAAGTATTGGAATTTTCCGAGGAAAAGAGGGGTTCGGATTCCCAGGACCCACCTCCATGGATCCACCTGTTCAATGTTCTTCAATCTCCCTTGACTACCACTTCTCTTGAGGCTTTTCTTAACCTTCATACCCTCATTACAGTATAATCTTCACTATGAGATATTCATATGCACCTAGATTGCTATTATGTTTATTCTTTCCTTTTGAACCAATACCACAAAGGTTAATCATGATAATATATATTTCTCTGTTATTGAGCATCTGACAAACCTGGTAGATAAACAAAATGCAAAGGCCCCAAATTTTTTTTTTACCAATATTGTATTGGGTTAATTGATAAGATTTTTTCCCAATATAAATTTCAAGGTAAAATATGTGACCATAACTTATTAATTACAGATTAATGCCAATTCAATAAAAATTAATCCAAATATACAATAAATATTACTGCACACAGTATGTGATAATCATAATTTATTTATGAGTACAGTAATCACATTCTGAATGGAGGAGGTTTTTCCTTTGGGAAAATGTAAGATATGCAGTACTGTACAGTAGCTAAAAAAATATCTGTCAATATTGCGTGAAACAATACGAGACCATGGACGATAGGTATTGGGATAGGCTTTATGTCATCTCAAACTATGTGATAGTAATCACTTAACTGTTTATTATATTCCTATATGCCAACTCACCCCGTGTTGGATACTGAATGGCAGTGGACGAAGACATGCAAACCAACCCTCCCGAGACATCGTGAGTTGTACATCTAATATCGGAAGTCATCGGACTCACCCTGTTAAGATACTTTTTTTAAGCTACTGTACATATACCAGCACTGAAGTGGAAGAAGCACAGAAATTAAACCCACCCCCATTCCATTGTTCACTTCTTTAGCCATATTCACAGTGCACCAACTCTTGATGGCCTGCCTTGTATTCTTATAATACAATATACAGTATATAATCTAAAAGATTTGCAATTATCACGTTTATCATCATTGCTTCTCCTTACTTTAAAATTTTTATACTTCAATATTTCTACTTATCTCCTTGTGTGTACTTGACAATGATGAAGTAATCCTTCATTCTTTATATATGTTCATATTTCTTTTATGTAAGAGCAAAGCCAGCAAACCAATTACTGTATTTCGGCAAAGAATTTGACTACTTGTGTTAGATGTGCAACCCTGTAGGGGGTAAAGATTGCCTGCAAGGACAATACTTTGTAATTTCTTTGTACACAATCCTGCACCGAGTTGCATGTTATGGATATTCATTATTATCTATCACAAAAGTTGGATATTTTCTCCAGCTCATATTCAATAGGTTTAGTTGAAAAATTTATCTGCTTAAATGATTGCAGGGATTGAAAATCATCTGAATTTGCATTCTGTAGGGGAATTTTTTTCATGGCAATTAAAATAGCCATATGGTTATTGATGGAGTTAACTGTCTGTAGCTGTAGGAATTCTGGTGCATTCTTATTGTTCTGGTCCAGACGCTGCTGACATCGAGCTATTACTTTGTTGAGGAGGGAGGTCATGGTTAGGTGCTGAACCTTCATGTCCTCTCTGTGAATAGACCAACAATGAAGAAAGCATGGTAGAAATCATTGGTTTAGAAAGATAACATGCACTACTGTATATACTTACACTACCAAATTCAAGGAGTGTCAATCATCTCTGCACGGTCTCTTGCAGCTCTCTCGTTAGGTTCCTGTTTCTAAGGTCACTTCTTACAACTAACTATTACACATCTAACCTCCTGCATCTCTTGACTAAGTTGGTCTCCTCCATTCTCTCCTCAGCCTACCTCTCTACACAAAACCTTGCTGATACCCTCAATATCCAGTTGTCCTTAAACCACTTGAACAACACATTCCTTGATCCTTAACTTTCTCACTCTCACTATGCTACCTTATGTGTTACCCTGTGAAATACCTTCTTTGAGTCTACCAAGTCCAGCTTTCTCTGCTTTCTTAAAAATTTCTTTTGTAGTTGCCTGGCCATGAATATTGCCTCAGTAGTCCCCCTGCCTGGTTTGAACCTAAATGATATTTTATTAATATCCATTCTCTCCCTTATTAATTTCTTGATCACCCTTTCCATGGCTGTCATGACTTGATTTAACAGCTTCAATTATTATGTGGAGTTAATATGATTCAACAAATATCATTTTCTCATAACAAGGCTATGCTTCTTGCCATCTTGTAAGAAAAAATGGCTTTCATTTTTCATTCTTCCTTCCTCCATTTCTTTAATACTGTAGGCTTAAGGACTATATATATATATATATATATATATATATATATATATATATATATATATATATATATATATATATATATATATATATATATATATATACATATATATATATATATATATATATATATATATATATATATATATATATATATATATATATATATATATATATATATATATATATATAATATATATATATAATAATTGAAATGTGTTACTTCTTAAAAGGCAAAACTTTAACTATCAGGAATTAATTTAAAAGAGGTCATAGTCAATAATATACGGTACACTACTTTGATTTTAGAACGAGATAAACAATTAAGCACACAGACATAACTTACATATCTTCTGAGAGGTTATGAAGTTCCTCCATTATCTTGGACTGGATGGTAATCTGGACTGCTAAGAATGTTTCCTTTTGCACGTTTATATTATCCTTTTCACATCTGCAATATCAATAAATTATCAATACCAATAATGCAACTGTGTGTGTGTGTGTGTGTGTGTGTGTGTGTGAGAAAGAGAGGACAAAAAAAAAGTGACATGTAGTTACAAAATCAGTGTTGTGCACTGTACGTCACTAAAAAGGTTAAAACAACAATGATGGTAGTGTAGTGCAGGAATAAAAACATGTCGATAAATAGACTTGATGTGGCGAGACCTGATAGGATGCTTGTTGTCAGACGACCTGGACAGTTGGGTGCAATGAATGATCTAATATAAAAAGAAAACTTAAATCATACCCCTATAGATACTACTGTACTCTTATTTTAGCTTAAGGTATGACTGCAGAATGATGGCAACTACAACACATATCTTGATAAAACATTACCTTTCCATTCCCATGATCTGGTCTGCTAGAGAGTGCAGTGTGCTACAGTGTTTCTCCCAGTTTTGTGTAATTTTCTTAAATGAAGCCAAGACAGTTGATGATTCAGCAAATCCATCAAACCCCATAATTGGTTATCAATTCTGGCTTTGCTCTTTGCTAAGTTCTTGAATTATCTTGAATGTGTCCGAGGAAGTTTGAAAACAGTTCAAGAAGGTAGGATAACTACTGATCTATATTGGTACTGGTATTTGGATGCTGTCACACTTTACAGCCGATATACTCTCCTCCTGTAAGGATAATAACAGAATTACCATGGTATATGTTCACTAATAAAGACATAATAACATTGTGTAACTCATGAGTTTAGATGAAATATTAAATATTTTGGAATATCATTTTCAGAATACTAAGTTAATCCTGAAAGATTAATGTTTTATCTAAATTTACAATACTGCACAGTTATGTTTATCAAATGGAATAATATTGTCACATAAAAAATCCATAATTAGAAAATACTGGTTTCCTTTAAATATAGATGTAAGAAATAATTTAGCTGAAGGTAGCAACTGTATAAGTATAATCATTCCTTAAAATAAAGACAAATAGATGATCAGGGATATTATTGAAAAATTATGTATTTTTCATTGTAATTGTCTCAAAAGTATTGCACAGTCCTGTCAAGTGAAGGTCACAATAATTGTGCTCTTCAATAGACATTTACTGTAACAAATTACACAGTTCAAATATACTGTACTTATTTCCTGTAACAGAGATTGGCTATAAAATTTACCACCACAAAGTCAATATCAATTCTCTATATGTTACCAAGTGTCTCTTAATTCTGACTTAGCTGGTCCCTATATATATATATAATACAATATGCTTAATCTAGTGGAACATGCACATTCTGTGAAATTTACATGCCACAAAAAGGAACAGAAAGTATTAAAATGCCCCTAGCAGACCATCTTAGTCGAGTTTGTATCATGCACCGTTCAGTTTAAGGAACAAGAGTTTTTACTAATTCCCATAACACCAGAGAAACTTTTCACTTAACCACAATGAACCCTAAGGAAGGATGCTGGCCAATTATTAAAAAGAGTAATGTGCATAAGAGGAACTATTTTCAATCAGAATATTCTGGTGGCCACATTGCTGTCCTCTTTACCATCAATATCAAAGAAACAAGACAATTGTAATATTTTTTCATACCTATTAGCCCCTTCCTGCTATATTACAGTGTTGTCAGAACCAGGACTAAACATAGTCTCTCTCTCTCTCTTTGTTTCATGTCATTAATTCACTCTTACTGCTTTAATAGTTGGGTTCTGCAATGGTATTTCCCTTCCACAACAAAGGCCCCCAAGATAACTATGTGGTTGGTCTGTTGCTTCAGACAAAATAACATAACCAAATTAGCAGCCTTGATCCTCATAAATCATTTGATGCCACTCTTTCAAATCTTGGTATGTCACATGGTTCTGGTGTCACGGAGCAGACTGGTTGATATGATACAAGTATAAAGTCGGGGTTGGGATATTTGTAAGCTAATTGGGTTTTTGTAATAAGACATTGGGATATGCTATAGGATTGGTACTGTACTGTACTAGATCATACCAGATATCCATCACAGATTGTCTCCTCAATGATGAAATGAATCTGGGACCATTGGAATGTCAACTCACAATGATAACTGTCTAGCCAAAATACTACGGTAATTTCTATACAATGAAAAACCCTATATTTATCACCTGAAAAAAGTACAGTATGTTTGTGGAAATTATAATATTAAATTAAAATAGATAAAACAAAGTTGAGGGATGAAAAAAAAAAAAAAAAAATTTATATATATATATATATATATATATATATATATATATATATATATATATATATATATATATATATATATATATATATATATACTTATTTTATCCATATAACAGCAGTTCTAGACCTACAGGCCTGATCCAGCTGTGAAATATACAGAGTTCAGAACTGCTTTTAGTGTCCTTGTGGCTCAGCCAAGCTGCCCTAGTTCCACCCAGTAGGTCGAGGTTCATTCTGCTGGTGAGGTTATATATATATATATATATATATATATATATATATATATATATATATATATATATATATATATATATATATATATATATATATATATATATATATATATATATATATATATATATATATATATATATATATATATATATATATATATATATATATATATATATATATATATATATATATATACACTAGACTAGGGTATGCTATAACGGATCTGTATTATCTATACGAATTTGTTTTAGTTTAAAATTGAGAATGCTATAATTAACGTTAATTCCTACAATCTAACGCGGATGAATACCGAACATTTCATTTGGCACATGAATATTGTTGTACCATACCCACAACAAGAGCCGCAGGAGCCATATCTTTGTCTCTATTGTGTAGCCAGTGCACCACTGTTATTGATGAAATTTCGTCTTTTGATGTGGAATTCGCGTTATTTGTATAACTATTTTGTTATACAAGTATATAATTGAACAATGAGTCATCTCCAAAGCAGTGAGAGCTAATAACCCTTGAAACTAAGAAAGAAATTATAAAGAAACGGAGAATGGAAGAAGCATTGCGTAAACTTAATGATGAATATGGGATGGCTAATGATTATATATGTACGATTTTGAAGAATAAAGAGGAGTTAAAACTGTGCAAGTGGCTAAGGGAATCTTTAGACTTAGCAAAAAGGTAAGGTAATGTGATTGAAGAGATGGAAAATTTACTCTTAGTGTGGATAAAGGAGAAAGAAATGCAGGTGGTAACATTAGTGAAGCTATAATTTGTGAAGGGCCAAACAATTGTTTGAGGACCTTAAAGCCAAGACTGTGGAAGTGATAGTGATGTGCCAGTGTTTAGGGGACCATTGCATGCTGAATAACACTAAGGTAAGATAAAGTACCGTATTTTTTTATTTACAGAATTTTTCGTAATAAGGGTTGTATTTGGGTGAACGGATTAATCCTATAATGAACAGGTTCTGGAACCAATTACGTCACATAGCATACTCCACTGTATATATATATATATATATTAAAAACAAACTAGGAACTGAATTGATTTCTCAAAAAATCAGAATATTGTGTATAATGGGAAATATTCGTGAGGGAAATTATGAAATAATAAAGAGGCAGACAAAGAGGCACTACTACTATATATATATATATATATATATATATATATATATATATATATATATATATATATATATATATATATATATATATATATATATACACACACACACACACACACACACACACAGTATAGTCTGGATTTACGCGGTTTTTGCTTACGCGTTTGGTCATTTACGCAGTGCCTTGCCAGAATGAAATGTTTTAATTACGCGGTAAATTTCATCATTTACGCGGCGAGCGGCTGGAGAGGTCCAGATCGCCGTGCCATTTTTTACTCACGCGGTCCATTCTTGACCATACACTGGAAGCGGAGCAGTGAGGGGTGCGCATTAGGCTGCTCTTACGTTATCGCTGACATCATATGATGTATCGGACTGTGATTGGGCCACGCATCCTTACAACCCACGCATTCCCTCCGCCACTAGCTGTGATTGGTCTAATGTAACATGACGTGCCCTGCCACCAGAGGGTGGAAGTCGCTGACCTAGCCAGGCCAATCTCATTGTTCTCAGTCCGCGTATACAGTTCTCTCTTGTGCCCGCTATTCCCCTCACAATGGCTTCCGCTGGACCCCCACCACCAGAGAAAAACATTGAATTACCTGGACCAAGCCATGATTATGTGAAGGAAATCATCGAGTTGGGGGAGAAAATTAAGCTCATCCTTGACAACGACCCAGACAAGCATCAGTATGAAGTGTCTAATAACCATCTGACGAAAATTATGGAGCCGTATATCCAGATCTATCTCGACAACATCAATGCTTGCCGTCAACGTAGTATTAAGGACTTCTTCGCCCACAACGCACCACAACCACAGCCAGCCCAAGTCAGTGATAGTGACAGTGAGGATATGGACTTTGAGGGGTTTGTCTGGGAGGCCCTGCAAACCTCTGCGAGTAGTGAAAGTGATTCACCGGAGGGCAATTAATCTGCCCTCTGCCTTGGAACCAGCCGCCATCCACGTGTGCCGACCCATCTTTTCTACTAACTAAGTGTTAAAAAACCAAATATTATTGACATTTCTCTTAAATATTAATTGTGTGTGCATACCATCATAAAATTAAGATGTTATTTTTACTACAAGGTACGTATTGTGTTGGAAAAAGTGGAGTTTGGGGGGTCGGCCCAGTCTCTGTCAATTAATCCCATATGTTCTGTTATTTCATTTACGCGGACCTCCACGGGTTCAATTGACCGCGTAAATGCCGATTATACTGTGTATATGTATGTGTGTATATATGTATATGTATATATATATATATATATATATATATATATATATATATATATATATATATATATATATATATATATATATATGTTATATATATAATATATATATATATATAATATATATATATATATATATAATATATATATATATATATATATATATATATATATATATGTCCACACACACACACACACACACACACACACACACACACACACACACACACACACACACACACACACACACACACACACACACACACACACACACACACACACACACACACACACACATACAAACACACACACACACACACACACACACATGTTGTTGGCTGGTCATTATTGCATATATATATATATATATATATATATATATATATATATATATATATAAACTATTGGTAAAGATAAGCTTAAAACAAAGAAGAGCAAGAATAAAACTGACTCACCCCAAACATCACACGGTGCAGCTTGGACAGGTCACATGAGCAATACCACAAGAAGCATTTAAAAGCAAAATACCCCACCAAGGTTTTCCTCTTTATCTTTGGTAACAGAAACAGAAACGGGTGCAACACCAGAAACTAATACTTCACTATGCACAGCCAAACATCAGATTAGAATCTAAAAATCACAGGCAAGACTATAAAAAGAGTTCTACATAACACTAATAGTTTCCCCACTGAAAAGCTGCCCCCAAAAAAAGCCATACAGTCTTCAAAATATTCAGGAAGTCAGTCACTCTAGACCCACTAGGTGCACTTAATACATGTGTTGGCAAATATTACACTTTGGATTCAAATAAGTTGTCAGCATTTAATATCTGTTGCTTGAAATGTTCTGGTGTTGATACATTTTCACTGTGTGGATCTTCATCATTTATTTCTGTAATAGTTACTCCACTACTATTTCCTGGTCTTGTCTGCATGTTCATCTGTTGCATCCTTCGCTCAATTTCCCGTGTGAGAGCAATACGATACATCTCATAGCTCATAACAATGCCGTGAAGTTCATGTTTAAAAAGTCTATTAAGCATAGCCTGATAGCAATCAAGCTCAGGTAATCGGAAAAGTTCCCATCTTAACTTATGGTCGTGATCTGGAGATGCTTGAGAATACACACGCAGCCAATATGGTATTTCTTCATGTAAGTAGGGTGAGGCTGGCATCAGTGATAGAGGTTGGCGAAAATCAGTATGATGTGGAATTGGTAACGCCCTATGAGGTCCTAAAACAGTATTCTCAGGAATTCTTGGAAGATACTGCTGTGCACAAGGGTGTTCATATTGAGCTTGCCGGGTGATATGGTTAACATAGTAGACTCCGTGCTCGAGAGACTCAATTCTCTCCCAGCCAGCTGGCAACCCTTCTTTCTCCAAAGGATGTGACCAGTGTGTTGTCTTAGTGTTATGATCTATATAATATTTACGACCTCTTAATGTAAAATCAACAGACCATCCTGGAGGAAGTGGAAGCTCTTGCTCTAATCTTGGAGAGGGAGGCTGTGGTGAGCCACTTCCTAGGTGAGTATTAGACTGTGATAACTGTTTTTGTCCTGACTGCACTAAGAAGGAGTAACTTACACCCTGTGCTGTTTGATCTAGAGGAGTTCTAATATGACTTGGACCATATAATATTTGATCCAGACTGTGCTGTGACCCAGTATAGCGGTTAATATAAGTATGATTAAACATAGCTGGGGAAGAGGGTGCCTGCTGCTTCAGCATTCCATCTAAACTGCCTCGGCTCCCTAAATACAAGCCACCCAGGCGCTGAACAACTTCTCCGACATTAGGTGTGTATTTTCCTTTTGTGCCTCCATGAGACATGCCATTCATTGGCGTCCTTGATCCAGTTGAGTATTTTTGAACCATCGGTGAAGCCTGATGAGAAGGGGGGTTGCTGCTACTAACATATGGTGGAGTGATGGTACTTTTTCTCTTTCTCATATCATTTTGACTTGCATTAGGCCAGACATTAATGATGGGCACCTCAGGAGGAGATTTTTTCTTGATATATTTTCCTGCTAAGCTGTCACAGCTTGCCGTTGTATCCTTTTTGCGGGAGTTAGACAACATGTTGGAGACAGTATGAGACAGCTGCTGATTCAGTAGGTCACCTCTGCTCCAGCTCGGTGATGCCTTAACTAGCCATCACCACACTGTAAGAGATATACGTATTTCATTAGCCAGAGTTGCCTTTCCTGTGTTTTGTTTTACACTATTGTGTTATTGATTCAGTATACTACTGTATATCTAGGTTTGAATATTAGAGGAGTTCAAATATTAGGATATTTCTTGATATAGTGCAAGTTTACTGTAAAGATATTTCTCAAAACTTTGACTATTCACTGAATGTTTCTATTAGCTATGATGTAAGCATGCACAAAAAAATTTCACTGATTTCTTATCATCAGTACAGGCAATCCCCCTTGTTCACCTTTTCATTAATTCATCATTTAAAAATATAATTATTAATTATTGTACCCCTGTATATTCAAATCAAGATTAAACGCAAATTTTCTTATCCTTTCCAGACTACTGTACTTTGTCTAATTGAATGCCAGTTATGACAAGTCTGTCATCCAGTGAATGATAGTCCACTTCTTCAATTGCTCATTCATTTTTATTCTTAAATGATATTCTACTAAATCTAATTACTGTACAGTATTTTGTATTAAAAATTATAAACTTTTACAAACATGTTTACTGTTTGAAAAGTAGAGTACAGTATCATCATAAAATATTGAACACATTCTTTCAAACAACAACTACAGTATATGGAATCAGACTTTTAGTTGTTTCAAACAAAAGTGCACTGCCGGGTTATTATTTCTATGTATTTGTATTAAAGTCCTCCATTTTAATATTATGGCCTGTAAGTGGTGTAAGTGATAGAGCTGCACCATGAAACAAAGTAACTAAGAGGAGTAAAATGAAGCTGGAGCAAAAGGTGAAAACCATTACATTACACATGCGTCAGCTTCGATACCATCATTGGTATGTGTTACAAATACTGTAAATTACTGTACAGTATCTCTCAGAGGTATTTTTCATTAATTATATCTCTTAATAATTCTGCACATTTATGTATTTTGTAAGATATTATAAAAATGAGTAAAATTGTCAAAAAACAGCAGTTTAAGACTTTACAGTACTGTACAGTACATTGTTGGAACACATCTTCCGTGTGTCAGGTGTTATACACATGTATGTCAGGGGTATAATTGACCTTCTTGTTTGACATTTAATTTAGTCATGGTCCCCAGGAACACATCTCTAACAAATAGTAAGGACTCACTGTACTGACACATATTCAAGACTTTATTGCTTTCAATACGAAGGATAAAAATCTTTGCTATCTCGAAACACATTACAACACAGGTGTTATGAGGCAATTTTCATCCATTAAAAGAAGATATCCTAATGATAATATATTTCCACATCAAACAAGAGAAACCCTGATGAACTCCTTGGTACTGTATCTATGATTCTCAAGGAATGTCATCTAATGATACCTAAAACCTTGTGATACAAAACAGTGTAGGAATCAAGATCTATATGACAATATAATTTTTTTAAATATTTTTTCTTATTTTTGTTAGGATCAAACTTTCATCTACACAAAATAATCTCTCTTATATTACTGCCATTGATAAAATTGATCTAATTTGTTCTACAAAAAACAAAAAAATAAATACAAAATTAGATACAACTTTTGCCAACAATGAGCCATACAAACAAGACTTCAGAAATTTTTTTGTTCAGACATTCCATATAAAATACACCCTTCGCATGTCTGCCCACCAACTGCCCTGTTACAAACTGACCCTAGGCCTAATATGCAAAATTTAAGTGAACAGAGTCTAACTGTACTGTATACTGTGAATAATTAAATATACCGGTACATGGTAAATATTTTTAGTTTTCAACCAGTGGGAATAGTTCCTGTTTAATGATACAGTTAAGTGATTCTAAAACCAATGCAGTCTTTCCTTGAGGTAAAGATGCAAACCTAGGAAGTGGACACTAGACAGGTTGTACCTCTCTAGTCCGGCAACCTCAGGACCTGACCGGTGCCGGACCATGGAAATTTCCGGACCATGAAAATTCACCCATTTCCTGGACAGATAGTGACTTGCGCTTACGTTAGCACCACTTTCACTGCTTCGTGGTCTCTTTGATGACATATTGAAGGGTTAAATGTCATACAGTAGCTTCTCAAATTTCGCGAGTTTTTAATTCAACGTTTTTTATTTGGACACACACACACAAAAAAAACACTACATAATTAATAATTTTGACGGCGGAAACTCGAATTTCGACCGGTTTGAACGGCCCGCCAACGTTCAGACGACGTGCACAATTGTGTAAACAGCGTCATTTCTCTTATGTACAAAAGATTCATTATTGTTTATTACTGAATGTCTTTTTTATTGAATTAATGTTTATGTTTGCAAAATGAGCAATACAATTTATTAATTATACGTAGAATATTAAAACACACGAGGAAATGAGATAGCATTGTTTTTGTTGATTACAAAACCAGTGACTGAGTGGTTCTACATATAAAATAAGACCCTGGTTGTAGCTGTAGTAAAATTAATGTAAAAAATTAATATGGCTGATTTAAGTAATGTTATTTAATGTTAATAAATAGAACAATAAAAGTAGCAAACCATTAACGTTAAAGAAAAAAGTGAGACTACGCGTATGTAAGTGCGCACATGTGAAAAACATATCGTCATTACTCTACATAAGAATACGAAAGCAACACTTATTTACTGTTCATATATATTTTAATTAATGTTTCTGATTTTTTTTATTGAATTAATGTTTGTGTGTGCAAAATGAACAATACAATTCATTAATAATTCCTGGGATATTAAAACACACGAGGAGATGAAACCGCCGGCATTGTTTTCGGTAATGTTTACAAAACCAGTGACTGATTGGTTCTACATATAAAACAAGAAAATAAAACCCTGGTTGTAGCTGTAGTAAAATTAATGTAAAAATTAATATGGTTGTTTGAAGTAATGTTATTTAATGTTAATAAATGGAACAATATAAGTAGCTAACCATTAATGGTAAAAAAAAAAAGTGATACTGTGCGTATATAAGTGAGCACAGGTGAAAACATATCGTCATTGCTCTACATAAGAATATGAAAGCAACACTTATTTACTGTTCATATATATTGAAGGGTTAAATGTTGTACTCTGTACTGTACAGTGGTCCCTCGGTTAATGAGCACAATCCGTTCCAGCAGGTTGCTCGTTAACCGAAAAACTCGTAACCGAAACCATTGTTTAAATGGGTTTTTGGGTAATTGGTTCCAGCTCACCGAAAATTGCCTAAATTCAACAAAAAAGGTAGAAAAGTACACTTACTTTGAGGTGTGTATGTAGAAGGCTCCTGGATGATGATGATGATGATGGGTCACATACAGGAGGCACCTGAAGGCACTGGAAATATTTCACCAACGTACTCTACATTCCATGCCAGTATTCTTGCATACACCAACTATGGGAGCATCGAGGCAATTGACCCCCCTCACCCGGGAGTCAAATACTCCACACCGTAACGCTTGGAGGAGCACCACACAAGAAGGTGTCAATACTTTCGAGTTAGCCGAACTGCAAACCGAGGCAGATAAGCGCCAGCGCCGGAATGACGCTGCCACTGCGCCTCCTGCACTAGATGCAGTCCTCCACATATGCAATGAATGTGAACAACTCCGCCAGTCCCCGTATCAGCCTCTTTAGTCACCTCAAAACTCACCAATGAAGGTGACATCCTGTAGTGATGGGTTGTCAGACCACAGCTTACATCGGGAGGAAAGCCAGACTTGACCCGACATTAGGGAGGTCAAAAGTATAGGGTATCTCTTGCGGCTGACCAGGGTTACAAACCAACTAGCTCCCCTCCCATGTGACATGTCACCACAACAGACATGTAAGAAGGCACCAGCCGACTCTCTTCCAATATACAATAACCTACTCTCTGAACAAAGGCCGGACCTGACCTCACATTAGCCAGGTCAAATGTAACCCTCGGAGCCCAACTCAAGGGGCCACAAATCAACCAGGGCCTCTCATGTCACACGGCCCCACCTGATGACTTCTCCAGAAAGTACGTCTTACATCTCAGAAACTCCAATCTGACCCGACATTAGGGAGGTCAAGTGTAGGGGAACTCTCACGGTTGCTCTCCCAATATACACACGGCCCCACCTGATGACTTTCCCAGATAGTTTCTGAAAAGTCCAGACCTGACCTCACATTGGCCAGGTCAAATGTAAGGAGACCCTTCGCCGCCCCCCCCCCCGACCAGCTGAACCTGACGGCTCGCATCCCAATATATAGGACGTCCTAGTCCTCCCTCAGTGAATTTGGCAGAGTGAGAGAGAAAGACACACAGGGATCGGAGGAGGAGGTCCACCACAGCCGAGTCCCGCTCACGGGAGGAGAGTCTTGCAGGACTTCCCTCCCCGACTTCCCTCCGGTGTCCCAGCTAAGCAGTCGCCCTCCCGACACCAGTGTCCCAGCTAAGCAGTCGCCCTCCCGACACCAGTGTCCCAGCTAAGCAGTCGCCCTCCCGACACCAGTGTTCCAGCTAAGCAGTCTCCCTGCTAGGCCTCCCCTAGGTCACGTGAGTGTTTGTCAGAGCTTTCCACGGGATGAGTTACTTGTGTGGGAAGTGTATTCATTTCATGTTCGTGTCCGAGAATCAGTGTCTAGTAACGTAATAATGTCCTAGTAACTTTCAATAGAAGGTGTTATTAATGTGTCCATGTCATGTTCGTAATTAATAAAGAGTTGTAACGAAGCAGTGTTTGACAAGTCGCCCTCAAGAACGTAATAGATGTGTATTGACGTATAAGATACGATAAGTGTAAATATTTATCACGGCCACGCTACCAAAGTCTTCCTCTCTTTATACTCTTATACTATCAATATTCTACCTATATGTAATCATCTTCTTGTGAGTTTTGTCTCATTACAATCCCTACTAACTCATATCATTGTATCCTAGCTGGATGATCGTCATTCTCAATTCCGAGTGACAGCAAAGTAGTAGTACAGTATATTATTAGAAGGCCTAAACCATCAACTTCAGGTATTAAACAGGGAGGTACTACCGCCTGGGAAAATATTGG